CAACAGTTTCGACCCAGCCACAAAGACGACGCAGGAAAATCCATAAAACACCTTTCTGACTGTGCCGTTTGTAAAAGGAAACTTTTGGTACCTACTTGGGCGCTGGCTCTTTAATCAAAATATCAAGTTAACTTTTTGAGATATTGGGCAAGCAATTTAGCACATTTTCAGCAAATTAATAATTGAAATGGCAAAAAAAGCACACAAAACACACACTTATTGGATATTCATTAATTGTTTTTTTTTTTTTTTTTCTTTTTTAACTGCGTTTGTGTGCGACTTAATTGCTATTAATTTCACTCGAAATTCGGACTCAGGCACGAAATTGCAGCGTTCTACACAAAAGACCTGCGCGCGTACAACTGATTTTGGGTTTCTGCTTTCGCAGCCACGACAAGGACGAGGACGTCCCAACGCACAACAAGTTGCAAAATTCGAGTTGGACGAGGTCGAAATTGACGGAGCCGACAACGCGTCGGCTTCGACGACATTGTTCGGCAAGGTTTTGTGGCATTGAACTACAACTTTGCAGCTTCGAAAGCTTTTTCGCAACTTGTTGCCCAATCAGCTGTTGCACTTGCCTGTACTCACTTTTATGTACTTTATTGAAAGCGACATTTTCGCAATGTCAAAGAAAAAAGTAAAGGAAAAGTAAAGGAAAATCCTGTTGTTAGGCACGCATGTGATATGTATGTATATATTTTTTCATTTAGTGTTTAATTTTCCGCGCTAAATACTGACTTTACTCGAAAGACTTTCAAACCGTATATGATTGTCAACCATTGCATTAAACCTGCTTGATTTAAGAAAGTCAAATACTTAGTTGTATTTTAGAAATCTTTTTAACTTTCAGGACCATTGAACCCAACTCTGTTAAAGCTTCAGATTGACAAGTTGACAATTTGCAGGGATAATAAATTACAAAATGCCCGAAGTTCGAAAAAGCTTCGAAAGCTTGGTCTCTAAAAACGCTTTCGTGTGTTTGTGTGCGACTTCACCTTCAAATCAGACTAAGATAAAGATAAAGATAGAGACAAAAATATGTACGCATATATTAAGATACAATATACATGTATGTATGCGTGCACATATGTATGTCTGCGCTTGTCACCATGTCTGACGCGAAATGTATGCACGATATGAGAATGTATTTATGCTTATATACATATTCTGGATATAAGGTATGTCGCTTCGGTGCGAGTAATTGAATGTGTTGTTATTTTACATCTTGTCGGGGCTCAAATACTGCTCCTATTACCATAATTATCTTAATTGGCGGTAGATACATATATCATATCACGATTACATTCAGTAATTGTGTAATCTATAAAATGTACGAAATGTATATATGAAAGACTATAGAAGCCAGAGGCTTCAAAAGAGTACTTTAAGCCCTCGTGTATACAAGAATTTGGCATCGGACTATAAACATTGAATTTTATGAAGAATGCATAGCCTAGTGCTGAGGGAAAAAGTACTGACGCTGCGTGAACTAAAGATAGTTTTAATGTTTGTAACGTCTAGCTGTTCAGATGTCCGTTCGATTGATTATATGAATATATTCTGGGTTCGGTCAAGTCAGAAATATCTATATATTCTACACCATGGGAGCGTGAGTTAAATGTGGAATGATGAATACTAAAGAACCCCCTTAAAGATCGATCCAAACATATTGTGCCCAACTCCTGCATTTGGCTAGTTATTGAGATATCACAGGTATTATGCAACTGATTAGAAAATTTTCACTTATCTCCTGTTTTATTAAAATTCAATTAGTTGAAATGATAAAACGCGTGTATGTGTATAAGCTTTTGTATCATGAAGGCATTCGTCAGATCTGTATCAAGATTTGTTTATTTTCATTCTCCACCCTTTTAAGGTGTGTATGTACATGTATCTATGTATTACCATATAATTATATACAAAATGCGTACTTTTGAGTCTCGTTTCACGCATTTCAAATTATGTTGAATGCTTTCACTGGGCTCAACTAGTATTTTCCTCAAGTATAGAGAACTTTATTGTGTCAGATCAGGCAATATATGTGCTTAAACACAAACATATATTTACATATTACGAATTCGTCATTTGGCACTCAAACACGCGCCTAATGCTGTGGGCTAGGTCAAAGCAAAGGGGCTAAGAATATCATATGCTGCAAACGAATAATCGTAATTAGATCGACTTGAGCACATAGCACAAGCACAACAGAAAGCTGACAACACAAGCTGGAAGTTGGTATAGATAATATATATGGCGTATAAGTGTGTATGTGCGTCGACAGCTGCAGCCAGTGGCTAAGATGTTACATAAGGAAGCGACAAGAGCCGTTTGAAACAGGCGTCACTCTGGACCAGGCGCCACGAACATGAAAATGTGTCTGGGCCCTGCTGGAGATGTCCTGCGAGGCATCCAAGGGAGTCAACGTGCGCGCATGAAGGGGCATGAAATAGGTTCATTACAACTGAAATATGTCGTCAGCACTGAAATCCTTCAATTTATATACTGCGCAACTAGTAAATACTGCAATGAGGTACATGATACGACATCTTTCCAGTTGAAACAATAGATCTCAGGTAAACCAACATTAAATGTAAATTCCACAAGAAGTATTTGCTGAAAATTAAAGTAAATTGCATAAATTCTGTCAGTAGGGACAACAGTTGCTTATCCGAAATTTTTATGATAATTGTATTAATTTTTAAAGAAGAAAAATATATTTTTTTGCCTCTTAAAATCTTAGAATGTTCAAGTGCTGACGAAATATTGATAATTAATATTTTTCATGACTGTTAGCAAAAAGCTTCATCCTGTGCGGAAAAGCTCTACCGGTGTAAAGCAGGACCAGCTTTAGCTTTTTAGAGCTTATAAGCTTTGAGCAGGAAAACACACCTTAATGGTTTTCCCCACAAGAAAATTGAAATGGGAGTCTCAAATTTTACTGATAAAAGCTAACTTATGAAGCTTTCTATAACAATATGCTTCATGAAAGTCAGTCCACAGGCAGAAGGTGTATTAAGATAATCATACAAAATAGAAACTAAATCGGTTATAAAAATAAGGACAGAATACCAAATTCCAAATAAATTCACCCATTTTCAATGGTCTGCGATAAAATATATAATGTTAATTTCGTTTACCCAAGAAGAAATCAAGGCCATCAGCTAGTTCTAAACAAATGCCAAATGCAAAACTAAAGCGATCCAGACAACACGAAAATTAGACACTTGAGACCACAACCGTTGCACTGCAGGACACTCGACTTCGAGCTCCCCGGCGACAGTCTGTCTGGACAAGTGCAGACTGCGCACCTGGCCAATGCATGGTTGTCTGCATTCAGGTAGAGCCCACTGTCAGCCCGAAAATTTTCAATAGAATTTCTGTCGGCTAATGATCTTTTAACAAGGTAACGGAATTTCCCAGCTCTCATGGGCTACAGGCCAAGGGACAGCGTGGCTAACAAAGTCTCAAGACATCGGGGCATGCTGGCTGGGCCAATTTCATTCATGAAATGTGCGAGAAATTGGAAAAATATTTTCTTACAACCTCACAGTTTGGGTGAGAAGACACTTGAAAGTAAAGAGGCTTCGCATTTGGGTGTCTATTCATTCATAAATTGCGCGTGCTTTTCGCATTGTAAACACGATTTTTTGCAAGAAAAATAAGGTGGAATTTTAAAGTTTGGTTATCGAAACGAAGGGGTTGTTGTTACTATCCAGTTCATACTTGTATTAAATGTGATATTTATATGGAATACAAGCGGTTCCAATATTATGGCTACAAATATCAAGCAACATTCGGTAATTCGCAAAATAATCTTTATTGTAATTACCCCAGAAGTATTTAGTATATTTCAAAGGTCAACTATACCTTTTGATCAATTTAAATGTCTAGTATCTAGTATCTACCCTGTTGCTGGACATTTTTAGCATATAATATTCTATTCAATGAATTCGCAAAAAAAGCAAACACAACAGGAGTCGGGCACCACCTACCTGAGCACTCGAATCTCAAGAGCTCGATCTTCAACTCAAGTGGGCGCACACTTGAAAAACACTAAGGTAACTTTTGTATACGTCACTGATAACGATCGGGCAATAGACAAATACTACCTGGAACGAATTTTCAAGAATAGCACAGTGAATGAAACACAGAATTCCGTTTAAAGCCACCGACTGGGCCATTCTGCACGACGACCCATAGGGGCGTAGGTGCAATTGCGTTTATTAGCACCGCACCCCTGGCCTCATTCATTTCGAAAGGCAGTGTCCACAATGAAGAGTAAAATACGTATGCCGTACTCATTGAAGAATCGATGTCAATTGTTGACTTTGCCTGAATCGGGCTGCTGCACCAGAAGGAGTTTTGCTGGGCAAGATTGTTGCGCTTGATTCGTTTTGGCCGTTTTGGCCCCTTAGAAACTAGCTAAGTAAAAAATAAAAAAAGAACTCCTAATTTGTGCACTCTAAGATGATAAGCATCTGAGTTGACGCATTTTTTGTGTCATAGTCTTTAAATAAATTCTGCTTTCGCAAAACCTTTGATTGGAATTTGCGCTCAATTTGGTAATTAGCTTGACATTTTAAAGTGTCTTTTGAAACGGAGCCATGATAAAGCAGTATTGGACTTGATTAATTATGATCCCAATGATAATGCAATTTTCATTCTCATTATCCTTGCGGTTAGCCTGACGGACCACACAATTGGACCGATGAAACAGTAGACCGAAGGATTCTTGCGTTCTTAAGTTCAAACGGAAGAAACATTCTGCCAACTACTAAACTGCTCTAAATATCAATCCTATGACAGATACATTAACATTCAAATTCGAAAAGACTCCCTTGCCAACGGCTTTATCCACGATTCACAACGCCTGTCAACTTATAGGCAGGACGAACCAAATTTTTGCAGAATTTGTGCGAAAATATTCGCTTCTGAGATGTGTGAAAATGTAATCTGACAAATTTCAGACAAAAAGCAACTATATCTATTAGCCATCATTTTCTGGCTGATTGGATTAACGTTAACGCTTTATTTGTTGCAACTTCAAACAATTTTCTCCAGCTCCTGCGCATATGTCAATGTGTGCACAGCGATGTCTTTCGCCAGCACTCTCTCCTTTTGCCGGGTATTTAGGTCGGCATAGTTGAAATTTCCATCCGCATCCAGCGTCCATTTTCGTCTTGCGACCAAGGCAGTCATCTCTGTTCCTCCTGGCTTGAGACCCAAACGCGATGCGGCCTGCTTCTGTGAGATCTTTCCATAGGACTTTTCCATGCATGAAGCTATCTCCTCACGGGCGGTATTCACCAGCAAATCCATGAAATCGGCATATAACTCTGAAGGCATCGACTTCTTGGCCTGCAATATCTTGTTGTAGCGTCCTTCCATAAAGTAGTTTTCCAGTGCCAGTACCGGCGAAATGAATGGATTCTGCAGCAGTAGAGCCGACGGCAAGCGTTCCAGCTCAATGTGGAAGTCGGCGATGCGATTGGTGGCCAACAAGTACAGCAGATGCAGGCCCATGAACTTGTGCATCTGCGGCGAGGAATCGAGGAACTTGTCATAGTCGTAATAGTACATCTTCAACTGTGTCATATATCGCTCAAAGGCGGCATTATCCTTGACCTTGATACTGTGCTCAATAGCAATTTCCAGCATATCCCGTGACGTTTGCAGCTGCTGCTTTTGCTGGGGCTGCACATCATTCTGGTCTTTTATTCCCACGAAACCCACGCGAACCATTTCCATTTTAAGCGACTCCAAAAGCTGACCGCAGACTCCCAGATTCGGCGAAGCCTTCGTCCACTCCTTTTTCAGCTCGTTGTAAAAATTCGACATGGCTAAGTGAACTTAAGGGACGAGGATTGTACAATGAATTTTTAATATATGTATATTAATTTACAGCTGTAGAACAGCGGCACAGGATATTTCAGTTTATTTGAGCGAGTAGGTAATCTTTCGACTAAGCCTACTAGGCCACCATTTAAAAAAGACTACTTTGGTTATATATTCGTATAAATTGGGCTTTATTTTAGACTATTCAACCTTTATATTAATGACTATTAGATATGACAACGGATTAAAGTTTTTGTACAAATAACATTCTAAAATTTAATCAACAATATTATTTACGCGCTGATCTTGAGCTCACAGCACTTCGGTGTTGACGGTGACGTCTGGGGGCTATTAGAGTTGGCTGATAAGTTAAAGGTGGGGCTTTCGGAGCCGCCCTTCTTCTGCTTAACGCGTCGATTCTGGAACCAAATCTTTACTTGCTTCTCGGATAGCCGCAGCCGGTTGGCAATCTCGATTCTGCGCAGGCGCGACAAATACGCATTGTGGGAGAACTCTCGCTCCAACTCCAGCAGCTGAGTGCTGGTGAAGGCAGTGCGGATGCGTTTGCTGGAGTCTGCATAGTCGCTGATCAACGGGGTGATCTCCAAGCCTGCGCTGGAAGCTGCGCCATGCGATTTTATGGGTGAGCTGGCGGGAGAGCAGGAAGATTCATGCTTGAAGCGTTTTGTTTGCGGCTCGTCAGGATTCCCATACTCCAATGAGGTGCTGGAAGATGCTGATGGCGAAGTACAGAACGCACCAGCCTCCGGGTGAGGCAGGCTGGTAGTTAGACCGTAGATACCCGTCTGCGGAATTGCTGGCATCGTCAGTTGCGTATTGCTGCCATGTGCCACGGCATTGGCCGAGAGTGGCGGGGATGGATAGCAGTCATCATAGCTGCCAAAGCCATTGGACTTACGCTTGGACGTGAAGAGCTGCGCGTATGGATGATAAAGTGAGGCGTGGGGCTGCTGAAGAACTGCGGCAGCCGCTGCCGCAGCCGCTTGATGCTGTTGCTGTTGTTGTTGTTGTTGCTGCTGCTGTATGCCCAGAGAGAAGAGGTAGCTACCCACGTAACTGGCTGGATACGGCAACATGGGCAGGCCGGGCAGCATGGCCGCTGCAGCGGCTGTGGCAGCCACGGCGGCAGCTGTTGCATTGGCAGTGGGTGAGCCGAGTGGCTCCTTTTTCTTGTTGAGCGGTGGCATATCGCTGAGCAGCGAGTCCATTAAAAAGGAACGCGACATTTTGCTAAAGGTTCAAGTTGATGCGACTTCTCTGTGCGTGGCGAGATCCTAACACGATCGGAGTCTGACTGCTACTGGTTAGCTCTCCGGCCGTGCCGTTCACTTTATATAGACACCTTTGGTTAGGGGTTGTTTTTGCACCACCCTTGGCTATGGCATGGGCTGCGGCGGAGCGTGCATTTGCCTTTGTTGACTCCTTTGAGGGTTGTTTGCTTATTTTCTGTGACCATTAAGCCACCATTTACAGCTTGTCTTCGTCTAATAACAGCAACTGTAGCCATTGAAGCTCCGCCCCTGTTGCAAAGATCGCTCACAATGGCAGGTATTTCTGAATTCTGTGTGTCTGAGTTTGGATCTGTGTGTGTGCATTTGCTATTCTGATAACTGTCCGAAAACTACCAACTAAATATCATTGTACAATACTTAAAACACGTTTTAGTTTAAAAAGTGCCTAATAACATTTGGCGATGATAAGTAAAGTATTACTATAATAGTAATAGTAGTAGTAATAGGATTGGTTCGTGAACCCAACGATTCTCATTGTTAGATACATATATTAAAATTTGTATTCCAACAATTCAATTTGTAATTTTCATTTTCCGTGCTGCGAAAATAACGCAACATGCTTGCTAAATGTGATTTCCATTCAATATTAGCATCAATCAAATATGCTTAAATAAATTGAATTGGTTGCAACCCGGGATATTTTTACAATGGGTATTTTTATTTCGAACCGAGCCGTTTTTTTTGTGGCTTGGATCCCGATTCAGCTGGATTGTTTTAGGTTTCGGCTCGGATTAAATAACAAGAATTCCAGCTTCGAATCGGTTCGGTTCAAGCTGCTTTGCAGCCGGAATAAAAACAAGAGATGTGGATAATTCAAAACTACTATATATAGGAAATTTGATCAAGTAAAATTAGTTACTTATCTATTTTAGCAGTTAAATATAGAAATGCAATTTTGGACAGATTTGATTGAAGTTTAGGGCTAAAGTTGAACAAAATTGCATACAAAACTGAAATTTATAAATTGTATGCTGTCCTTTGAGCCCGACAATTTGTCTTTTTCACGTATTGTCCACTAACTGTAAGCACCTTAACATGTTTTTATGGATGCATTATCTCTGTGTGCGTCTGCCAAATCGGTTAACAATACGCTTACATGCTACACTCATCAACTTGGCTCATTCAGGTCGAGGCATTGCAATTCATTGACGGCCCGTACCCGACGCCCATTGCGTCTTTGTGCCCGGGCCAGACATTGCGTCGCCTTAGAAAGAGAGGGCGAAATTTCAGTTTTTGGGCTACATTACACAGAAATATGGCGGCAGTTTCATCATTTGTTAACTGGCTTTAAGGATTTGCTTTAATTGTCCTTTTCACGCCATTGTACCGAAGCGTGTGTGTGTGTGTAATGCCAAGGTGTCTGCCCCTGCCCGGGTGCTGCTTTGTGTGTGTTTTGTATGTCTTGTGTGTCGCTTCAATGATATTTTATCATATGTTAAGTGGCTATAAAACTCCACACAATCGCTGACGTTAATTGTTGTCCAACTCTGAAAGTACCTTTGGACGCATTGTTGACTCCAGTTGCATAGCTTCGGGATTCGGGGTCCGGGCCGATTGAACGTCTACTTTTTGGGGCATTGTTTGTATCTTGGCTTCTGCTTAATTGGCGTACTTTCCTTATTGTAATACCATGCAAAATGCGTTGCAGCTGCCGCAGGACCCGCCGTTTTCTATTTTTGCACTAATTTTCTGCAACTAGATCTCTGGTAGGCGTTGCGTCGGTCTCGTGCGCATAGCCTGGACCTGGGCGGCTGGTAGGTGCTTTTGTTGCTGCCTCTCAAAGGGCCACTTGAGTTTTTGTGCTGCTCACCCTTGACCACATCCGTTTTTTGTGTACCTCCCGTTTATACGCTCGATTTAGCTGGGCATTGTTCATTTGGTCGTTTCAAATAGATCGTGCTATAGATGCAGCCTCTATATTCCATTAAGAAGAAAGTATCCATGTAAGAATGTGTAGGCCACGTGTGCAACATTCAGTCCAAGAGCAATGCGATCCCATCAGAGCATATTTACGTATATGTTTAGGTATAAGACGCACGTTTTGTTTCTGATAGTAATAAACACAAATGTTCGAGCAGAGCTTAAAAGACTCTCCCCTTCGAACAACTGAAGCGCACAATTTCATTTTAATTGTGAATAAAACTCGGGTAAACGCTAAACAAATGAAAGCTGAGAGAAACTTTGTATATGCATGCAGGGATTTAGATATAAATAAATATGTTGCCATGTATGTATACAGAGACAGAGAGAGCTAACGTACTTAAATGATGCGAGTCTGTGGCAAACCGGATTCGCCAGTCATGGGGTGTATGCTCATGATGGCCTTAGAACCACCACCACCATAACCAGCAGCAGCAGGAGCACCACCATGATGGGATCTATCGCACCCCGACTGCTTAGCTTATGAGAGTTCAGTTGCTTCCGTTCCTTGGTTCATCATTTATTGACATTAATTGGTTGTGACATTTGCATTTGACTGATTGTTGTAGTTGCCATTGTTGCTACTTAACTAACAGTCAGCGGCTCAGGCGTACATTTTTGAGGGTTTGTTTAGCTGTCGGGCTCTTGTTGGACAGGGAGACGGACAATCATCACATGGAGAGAAACACTTTTATATGCCATACCATATTGTTGGCTTAACAAATATGACTTCATTATAGCTCAAGTAGCTTCATATATTGCGCCTATGAATAAATTATAAATGAGCTTTGCACCACGGAATAATTGGGGTTTCGTTGCGTGTTTCTGAGTCATCAGACCTCGGGCAATAGACGAGTGTGTGCGGTCTGTTTGTTTGGCAAGTCGTACAGTATCAAATAGGTGGGTATTTTATGAAATATGAAGGACTTTACGATTCTTCTATGGTTTAGCGTCAACAGTGTCGGCTATAGAAAAATATTTCAAAGTCCTGCACCGCCAGTTTAATATTTGATGCATTCGACCAAGGGACTGGGACAACAATGCCAACTCCATGCGTTATTCATGAATGAAAGTCAGTGCAGCACAAAGGTCGCAAACAATGCAGCAATTGTCCTAGGCTTCGAGCTGCGAGCACTTGCAGTGATCTGCAGATGTCTTTGTGTAGACCATTTGGCCTCACCATTCGTATACCAAGTGTCCTTTGTGCCGGCCAGGTAACAGCGGACAGTCAAGAATTCCACGTCCTATGAAGATCAGCTAGCTTGGTTGATAATGTTTTTTAGCGGCCGAGTCCGTCGTGGTCAAGGCCGATTGCCGGACAGTGCAATTAATCACGCGTGTTTTGTTGTAATGCCTCGCATTTTGTTTGGTTTGTTGTGGTCAATATTGTGGCTTTCTGAAGAGGCTAACAGGGTGCAAAGATCTAAACAATTGATTCAGTTGGGTGGAGTAACGAAAGCCTGGCCATCGTCACGTTCCGAACATGCATTCAGCCCTTACAATGGACCAGCACTCAAATATTTAACCACTAATCAAATTATATATACAAATAAACATAACAAGCAAGCACACGATCCACTCAACATCCCTCTCACTCCACCACTTATCCAAGTCAATAAAAACAATATTTAAAATCAAAAATTTGTCCACATCCCGGCAATGATGGGGTATGGAAAAGAGCGCGCGCGTTCTCCGACAGTCGCCGGATTGTGCGCAATAGCCGCCGCTGCTGCGGACTGCGGCACGGGCTATGGAGTGCTCGGAACAACCCCGGGAATGAGTTGAATGAATAGTAATACATACGGCTGCATTATCACCATAAAATTAACAGCCAGACGGTAAAGGACACGCACCCTTTTGGGTTCTAAGCAGTTGTTACATTCGTATCTCTTTGTGGTCCTTATCGAAATTTATGATTTGTAAATTGACAAACATGGCAACTGCAAACAGGAGTTGTTTAAAAGCGAATTGTGTTTGGGGTAAAAACAAGTTTGTTTCGCATTGGGCCACGTACAACTAGAAAACCTTGTCTGAAGGTAATCGAACGAAAAAAACCGAGATTTAAACAGGGAAGCAAACGATACGTACTTTTATATGAGTATATTTAGTCAGTAATTTCAATCAGACTAATTGCATTAATCAGACACTGTATTGATTTTCATTTGGGATAGCGTAACAAGAGACAGACAAGAGACAGACTATAAATTTAAAAGTTAGCAGGAACTTTATTAAAATTAAAATGCATTTTAAAAATTCCATGTAAATATAACCCAAGATTGTTTTTAAAGGTCGATGAATTGTTTCAATGAATAAATTTTTTCAAAATGTACCTAAATTTCCTTGTTAGGTGAATTTAGCCAAGGCACAAACCCAAAGTGAGGTACGTTACACGGAGCGCATCAGCACCATTCAGTTATATCAAAACTGTGGATGAATGCGTATGCTAGATACATGAACACATAAAGGCAAGCCCAGCTGCCTCACTCAGATAGTATTTGTTTTATATAAGATGTATTTTAAAGGAATGCTTACCTTTAGCTTAAGTTTGCGCATGATGCGTGTCTCCTCCCAGCGATCCAGCTCGTCCCATTCCTTATTTAAGCACAGCGAGAGGGGTTTTAAGGTTTTTAACCAAACAGATGAATATTTAGGGGTAAATGCGACCTTTAAAAATATACTCACCTTGCCGCGCCTACGTAGCAAGTAATAGCGGTACATCACGATGGTTACAGCTAGAAGTAGTGCCAACCCAGTACCAGTCGCGGCACCCAATACCGCCGAACTTACCATAACCATATCGACCGCACAATAATCCTCCTAATTGTTACTGATTCTTTGGTTCTGCCCGTTTTGTTTGTTCTAAGATTAAAGATAAAAGATTCGTTAGCTCAAACACATTTATATTAAAATATTCACTTTAGATTATTATATTATTATTATTATTATAAAAGTTTTCTGTAGGTCAATTTGATAGAATCGTAATACGTGTATGTATGTATGTAGTGCGTTTGCATGAGTGGATGTGTGTGTATGTACGTAGGTATGTATTCTTTATGCATATTAATGTTTAAATTTATGTGTATATTTAAGAATATATCTATGTTTGCATGTATGCAATTATTTATCTACATAAACATATATTTTGTATGTTTATATGCAAGACCAAGTTTACCCCTAGCTGCAATGCAAATTTAAAAAAATTTATTCTTATAGAATGCCCTTCTACGCAATTCTCATAAATTCAAGTAAGTCAGCCTCATAGGCTTCACTTTAAGAGGAGGATGAGGCGGCATCAATAGAAGAGAAGGCGGCTTCTACTATAGTGAAGATGGGAACTTAAGCAAAGGATGACGCGGTGGCTTTAATTTTAGAGGAGGGGACAGGTTGAGAAAAGGAGGATACGGCAGCTTTAATATTGGAGAGGATGGCGGCCTGCAATTAGGAGGAGCCGGCGGCTTTAATATTATAGGAGACGGCAACATAAGCAAAAAATGAGACGGCGTCTTTGATTTTGGAGGAGCCATTTGAAATAACTGGTACGTATTATAAGCATAACTTTAACCTATTATATTTAAAACAAGAGTAGCAAAGTCATGCATTTTCACTAATTCAAGTAAGGCTTTTCTGTTATTTTTCAGTGATGGGATTATAGAGGAAGTTCGTCTCCCGCCTTCTGAAATATAACGATAAAAAATTCGCGCATGTGAGCTTAAAGGTAAGTACGTAATTAAAAATATATATTTATTCATTTATATTTTTGCATAGATGAAATATAACTTTAAAAACACTCCTCTAAAGTTTAAACTAAGTAGTTGGAAATAAAGTTGTTCGATTGCAGAATGCAAAGCGCATTTCCTCTGCGCTTCAAAAGTGTGTGTAAGCATTGGCTCAATTAACCTATTTTTGAAATTATATAGAACATGTGGGACTGCGTGCGTACATTTTATATTGCTGTGGACACATATTATTTACTTGGGTACAACTGTGCAAACTTGTCTCGGGCATAAAATGGGTTTTACACGCGTAGCGAGTTGTTAAATAAATAATTAACAGTAACAAAAATAAAGACACGTCAGTATTTAACAATTCTAATTTGAGTTGTCAAAGAAGAGCGGCTTTTGACGCTTAAGCACAGCAAATCGCGGAAACTTCTTGATATTTGTGTTTTCTGGGGGATATCTTAGGAAATTATGCGCTGCATCATTCGTATCTCCATTCTCATTGGTTCCATCATCATTATCGTGATCGTCTTCATCGTCATCCGTATTCTCATTGTCATTGTTTTTAACATCGTTATCGTTTTCATTTTCAGATTCATCGGTGTCCTCATCGTCCAAGCCATCAATTTGGTAATCAGAGCAAACCGAGACGAGCCCCAGGCAGAATACAAGCGTTAAAATAAATGTTCGCATTTCGAGTCTTCAATGAATACTGTTTAAGCGTGTGACGGAGTACAATTTATAAGAAACTGCTTCTGATGTTCAAATGTGCTTTAAAAACAGATCTTTGGAAAAAGTCAACACTAATTTGTTGTCAGGTAAGTCGTACGTATATAAAATGGTATAATAATACCCGCACTCATAACATATGCATACATATTTTTTTTAAATTTAAGGAATACAGTTTTATAGATCCTAAAGCCAATCGGCTTTGAAAATAGTTAGTTTATGTTATATAAATTTTAATAGGTCAATCACCAAATTTATATATTTAACAAGAAAAGTGCGTGTGTATAGGAAAACTTTTTATTTAAATGATCCTGTTGAACGGGTTGTGTTGCGATTGCTCAGATGGAGAGTGCAAGATAGCATTAAGAGGTAGAAGTATTTGTATTATTAAGGGACAGTTATGTCTCCTTAATCGTCTTTATCGTCGGCCTCGTCGCTATCCTTATCATCCTTATCGTCATCTTTGTCATCGGCATCGTCAGCATCGTCGCCTTCGACATCATCGTCTCCATCATCGGACTCATTCGCATCGCTGTTGTCGTCACCCGCTTCATCAGCACCGGAAATATCGTCTTCCTTTGATTGATCCTTGTCAGCGTCTTCACTTGCGGTTATTGTGGCGAAGAGCACAAAGCCGAAAAGGGCGAGCAGTAAAATGGTACGCATGTTGGATGGTTTACTAGTAACTGGTCTAGAGAGCTCTGCCTTCCAAGTTTTTATACGTACAAAACGACAAATCGAAAAAGCTGGAAAGCCTGTATTATGATTATTATCATTATTTAAATTAGTTGTTATTGTTTGCTTAACAACAGCTGTTATCAAGATTGGAGTCGAGATGGATGCGAATTTGGTCGATCGGTAAATAAATTTGTCAACTTCAACACCATATTTTGTGTCTTTGAATGATTCCATTTGCGGAATTATTCCAAGAACTTGGCTAAGTTTGCACAATTGCTGTTATGTGGCGGTTTGTTGAAAATATTTGTCATATACCCATACATAAAGAACGCTTTTAATTCGAAATTAAACAAATATTGATAAGGTTTTATGGAGGCCTAAAGACTGAACCTTGATTAATGTTTGCGCTAGTTCAACATGCCGACCCTGCAAGTTTATTGAGCTCAGCTCAAAAGAGTAAAATCATTTACCGCGTTGGGATAAGCCCTTGTTTAGGGTATTATAATTTAGTCATGAAATGAGTAAGACATCTCCGATCTCATAAAGAATACATATTCTTGTGTTGATATAGCCTCTTTCTCTCGGTCTGAAGACTCTCATCTCAAAACTTTGCATAGGCTCATCTTGCTATTGCTGGTAGTATGTTTTTCAAGAAATCTTAACCAAAACTGTTGTAATATAAAGCTCTATAGAAAGAATCAGTTGAAGATTAAGGTTTATGAAAAATGATTATGTTTTCAAAATACGTTCGCCAAGTTCAGTATTTGCTTGCTCACTTTTCATATTTGCAAGTCAAATGTCTACAAGGGTATTAAATCTTCGACGTGTTCAACATTGTACCGCACTTTCTGTTTTTTTTTTCTGTTCATTTTTAATTATATGAACAGCTGTTAAAGACAACCGATCTAGATGAAATCACGTATTTGGGCTGACTTTTATGATGCATTCGGACGTCGCACACGTATGAAAAACAGAAGAAGTCATCATCAAAGCTGACAAAAGCCGTCTTGGCGTGTGTTCCAATTGCTATAGAAACTCTCAACACCCTTGATCCGCAGTTAAATACTCGTTCCGTCAGGACCTGCTGTCGCATTATGACTAAGAACGTCGAACGAATTATATCCTGTGCTTCGGAACTTTTAAATTTAATTCATTACAAATTTGAGCTTGTTTTCGATATTGGATGTGTTTTGGTCCTTTATATCAATTATTCACCCACTTTTTGTTAGCAGTTTAATATTCTGCCTGTATAAATCTGAGCTCTGCGTTCCACATGCGAAATTTATTTTACCAGCTTTTCCTAAATTGCTTAATTTTCCTATCTCTGCTTTCAATTTAACCAGCTTTAAATGGACTTGTATTTAACTTTTGAAATATTATGAAAAGCTTGTCAACATAATTTCAGACTCTTTAATTAAATTATATTTTATAGATCTTATGGTATATCACAAATATTATTACCAGCACAGCAACGATGTCCGCACGGGTTTTAGCCAAGCTGACATTGCTTCACGCTCTACCCACCAATATTCTATTTGCTCTGCCCGCTAATAGTCCTCTATAGATAACAGATTTTGCATATTCCACTTTTGGATACATTCGTCCGTCCGCCAATCTCTATAAGACCAAGGCCTTGTTCTTTGATTTTTACAGCCATTTCTTGTAGACGAGCATTACCGACCTCTCCCACACTCTATTTAGTTTGAATATTTTTGACACAAATCCAATAATAGTTTCTTAATTTAACGAAACTTAGCAATTAACTTAGAAGCTGTCAAGCTATCAATTTGTATAACTTGCTCGGCGCAAAGCTAACAATTCAGTTAGTCTTTCTTAAAGGAAATTGCGTTTTCATTTTGGCCTCAGTACTACAAAGCTGTGCGAGCGTGGTAGTAGCTGAATATCCTGGCTCAGACTCAGACAAAGACCTGAAGAATAAACTCGGTGACACTTCACAGTGCTTGGGCAGGATATTGTAATGCTTTCTATTGTTGGTTGACCTGTGTAATAAATTAGCAAGTGCGAAGGTGAGCCACGCCTAGTACTAAAGGAGTAGCCGTTCCATTGAAGCGAAACACATTCCCATGTCCCTCGCTATACTCAGGCACATTTGTATCTACATAAAATTGATTTAAAAGCAAAAAAAATTGGCGCATAAAACATAGAGCGAATTCTCTCTCATCGGATTTGACGCGTTTTACGCCCTCGAGAGCAATCGGGCATGCTGAAAAGAAAAGCACGGAGCGTCCATTCCGGGCTGGTTACATGGCCATCGAACTTTACATAACAATGGCAACAGGTTTTAGCGGGAGCATAACGCCGTTCTGGCCGCTTTGCGTTTGTTGTGTCGTCGAATTAACATTTTGATTGGATTTTCCAATATTGCGCCATATGGCAGGTTGGGAGCTCTGCAATTGACTTTGATGGGTGACTGGCGTACTGTTTACGTTCTTTTTGCTATTTGGTATTTCAACAAGCATAGAGCATACACAAATTGTCCGATAAGATAAACAATTTTATTGTTTATGCAAAGGTTGACTAAACTCCGAATTAAACTGGCACCCAATAATTAGATCCAGATTTTACGGAATTTAGGCTATTGTTTATTGAACCAGATCCCATATGGAAAATATTATGATATATCCGTGCTGTACCAGGCTGTACCAATACTCCCTAGACTAACTCGGGTGTTGCTTCATCGGCATCCGTGTTGGCAACCACATCTTCAACTACTTCGGGCTCTATGACAGCGGCGACAGGACCAACTGTGCTGACTTCGACGGGCACAACCACTCTGGGACCCCAATAACGGGGAGCCCAGCGTCTGGGCTGTCTCACCTGTCCGTATCCTCCCCAGAAAGGTCTATAGCCGTACCAGCTCTCGGGCTCGTATCTGGGCTGATATCCGGGCCAGTATTGGGGACCGACAAAGGGCCTAATTCGGCGGCCAGTCTGTACGGGCGCTATTTGCACAGGCTCCTCATCCTCCGGACTTTCTTCAACAGATGTCTCTGCTACTGGCTCGCTGGCAATGGCCGGTTGAACGGCCAACTTGATGAGAGGTTCTTCGACAGATGTCACTGCCACTGGCCCGCTGGCAATGGCCGGTTGAACGGCCAACTTGATTAGAGATTGGCGGATTCTTGGTGCACGTACAAGGAGATTTGGTTTATCTGACAGCACCAAAGCCATCAGGCTGATGAAAATAAAAGAATGAAACCAACGCATTTTGGATTTCGTATTCGGTCCTCAACTGATTTCGGTTCGCAGTGATGGCTGCTTTTATTACTAAAACAGCAGATATTTTTGCTAAATATTGATTTAGCCAATTTCGCCATGCAATTGCCACAATTAAAACGTGTGCACATTTCGTGAATTGTTTATCTACTTTTCGAGCGTCAGACATGCGAATTATTTGCTTAGCTTGAAGAAACTTAACAATGATTTTGCTAGCTTCTCATTGGGACAACTGTTTTATTGTCTAATCTGGAAAACAGTCTGGAACATTAGACAAATATATCTAAAAAAAAAAAAACCAAAAAGTCGCCAAAAAAGTACGTTTTTCTCATAAGGAAAAGCTGCGCAAATAAATACAAATTAGCTTCAACTGCAAAATGTATGCTAAAAAAAATAAATAGTGGATATTTTTTAAACTGGTCTGAATGTGACAAAAGTATATTAGTTTTGTGTTTTTAGAGCTTAACACCTAAAGCAGAGATAATGTTAGAAGAGATTTATATTTATGATGTATGACATATGATATACTTAGTATATAAAGATCAAGTATACTGCATGGATTGAAGCTAGAATAATTGTAAGGACAACTCAGAGTTAGGTTCAGAGTATATTTCAAAGTCGGACACACCCGTCTAAAGCACTCTTACGTGTATGATAACCATGTTTGCATTGCGGCTTCACTTGCGAAGCTATAATTATGCTGTGTTTGGCAATGGGATACAATATGCTTACCAATTACTCCTCTGGGCTTTCAACCATGTTTCAAAAGAAATCTCAACCTAATGACTGATCAACGCATAAGCGAAACTATAATAGCTAGGAGCTGATATTTTACTATATTTATCATTAGTGAAGTATGTGAAGTATGTCGCGGGGTTTTTTGGAATTTCCAGCCGCAAGTGTGAATCGGGCAATTCCGACTAAAGTACTCTTACTTGTTTATTCTGAACTAACATCATTTATTTTGGAAAATAAATATAATTCGGTTGGGATTTCAACTGAATTTTGTTCTGTAATTACCTTATGTGAAATTTGCCAATTCCACTCGCAAATATGAATCAAGCGCTCGCGTTTAAAGTACTTTAACTTGTTTATTTTGAGCGTATTTCGTTACGGTTCGTTTCAAAGTGAAACAATGCTGAGTCCAAGCCGTAGAAGTTGGGAATATACATATTAGTAAATGAATATTATTGGTCAGTAAATGTTTGTGTGAGTGCTTTTTATACCGTGCAATGCTGGGCTTTAAATCAAGAGTCTTAAACTATTCTCGCTGGTGCATTCTGTTAGAAATTTCATGATAAAATAATCAATAAACATTGTTTAATTTGTTTATATTCGTTATCCGTCTTCGTGTCTGCCAAGATAAATAGGCCAAATTTGTATATATCGTTTTGGTATATGGTCTGAATTGCTGATTGACGTCATAAAAGCGTTTTTGAAAACACAAGCCTCGATGTAATCAATTGAGCGTAGGCGTAATAGCCAAGTGGTCTGTGTGGCGTAGCGAATATTGTCAAAAATTATAGAAATGTATACAAATATAACTGATAAGCGGCCAACCATGCTGTGCGTATTTTATCAAAGATTCAAATTCATGTTGTATGCCATGTAAGTGCAGTTGCTAAATATAATTCCGCACAGAACCCAAGAGAAATGCTGCCCACTCAAATATTATGCACATAGAAGTCCATACGCCTCTGAATGGAAGCAAACCGGCCCAACCCAAACCAAGTGAAGCCAATAGGACCAGCCCAGGAGTGGCCAAGGGTCCCTCTGACTGCTGTGCCCTCTTATTACTGGGATTGCCTTTTGCCAAGGACATCGCCAGTTTGTGCCATGGCTGCCCGCTAGGCAAGCAATCGCAGTTTTAATAACCTCTACACGAGATGATTGGGGAGACTGCCGGGCGGGATGTAGCCTTACACATGCTACATACGTTTATTTTGGTTGAGTTTCACTTAACAGGCACGGAATTAAATGACATTTTTGTTTTCCTTTTTCCCAAGTGACAAATAAAAATCCATTATGCCATTAGAAGTGGCATCTATCAAAAATAGCAAGTCAATCTTTTAATGGCTTAAGCACATAATATATTGGATATTTATTTAGAAATTATTGGGCAAATATGAGAATTTAATTCGCTTGATATTTACAAACAAATCAATCATAGCAAATTACGTATTTATATATTTTTTAAATCAAAGTTACATTCAACTTACCCTGGGGAATTTAAAAAAGTAATTTATTTTATTTCACCGATTGTTTTAATACTATAATTTGAATGAGTTCTCAACTGTTTCTTGCAATAAGCACTAAAACAAGTTATTATTATTTATTGTTAATGCAAATTGGACGCACGCGGAACATAATTGTTTTGCAACTGCTGTAAAGCTATTTTAGTTTCATCTCCTTTTAAGACTCACAAATTTGATTTATACACAGAAACAATTGCACTTTTCTAACACAATTGACAATGTTTTGAAATTTTGAAAAAATTCACTTGTATTTGAGTTGTAAACAAATTGAGTAGCTCGATGCACAAATGAAATGGTAGCAACATCTACCGCTTTGCGTGCCAGATTCCAACTGCTTGCCACAACGCCAGGATATATAATGATAGCCGATACGCCATAGAATGCTACCATATGCTAGAAATGTTGTCACCATCGTTCGTGTTGCTCGCAAAAAGCTCCTTTGGGCAAAGGCTTCGCGTGGCGCTAATTCGGCAAAAAGCTTTCGCCTGTTATCAGTCAGAGATTACGGACAGCTTCGTGTTGTGTTCATTTTGTTGATAACGTGGCTGGCCGGTAATTGTCTCGACTGTCTATGCAGCAATCAGCATTAGGGGTTAAATTTGGATTGACGTCCATCCCGAAGGCATTTGCCTTGTGGCAGCCCCAAAGAGCGCGCTACAGTCGCTGTCCTTTCGGCCCGCCGCCCTTTTCAATAACCTGTTGCAGGTGCCCTTTGTTCCCAGTCAATCTTTGCTGCCCCTCGATAGCGAAATACAGATATCTTCGCAATTGAAGTTAGATAACTAACATATTTTTATTGAAACTTCTCTTATGGATGTTCTTACAAGTTTAACATTAAATGCTAAATTAGCCCCTCACGCACAACTAAGGCACATTCCAAATATGTTTCAGTATCTAGTTGCCAAACACGGACAAAGTCAAATGATAAAAAACTGATACTTTAGAATATGCATAAGTTAGCTTTAATCAGCTTAAAAACAATCAAAGACAGTCGCACAGGTCCATAAATTAAACGTAATTAAGGTAGTTCAAGTGGCGGGTACTTAGGTAAGTAATTAAACGAAAGGTTTTAACACATATAAATACTGGGATTGAGATAGGATCCGATCTACAGGGGTTTAAAATTATAAATTATAATTAGCGGGTACATGCTTGCATTAACTTTAACATTCGTGTATTATGTTGGGTTTGGTGAGGATTTTTGGCTCTTAACTAGGTACTTACAAGTAGTTCATAACTAGACAACATTTTAAAACGTACAGTTAGCAGGAATATAACATTAACACTAATATAGGCCGCAGTTATACACATCTACTATCATTAATGGCTGTCTTACGAACGGGATCTCTTAACCATCTAATATTTTGAGCACGCTTCCATTGTTCAATTGCATTCACTAATGATGTCGCGAATGCACGCGTTTTGCTTTTTGTGTTGTTGTCGGCCAGTCCAGACTAGTCAGCGAGGGCAGGGCGTTTTCATTGTTATTGTTGTTGTTGTTGTTGTTAGTATTGTTATTATTATTTAGCAGGGCTGGCGTCTGCAAGGTGTAGTCGTGGGCTAGTACGATGGGCTGCAAGCTGCTGAAGTTCACAGCTGGTGCGAGGGACGGGGAGGCGGGCGCATAACTCAAACGTCCTATATTGTTTGAGCTGGTGGGCGAGTTGCTGTTCAAGTTAGAATTCTGATGTGCCACGGGCCTTGGAGACGTCGGCACATTTAGATTGAGACACGGGCCAGCTCTGCAAGGAAAAGGGCATCAGTAAGTGTGTGTAAAAAGCAAAGAGTGCGACAGAGTGAAAGAGCCAATAAGAGTGGAAACAGGTTCTACAAAGTTATGATCAACAGGAAAAGCGGAAAAGAATCTAAATACTTTAAATGTTGCAACAAGTTGCTAATGCTATAAAAATTTTTTGGTGTTAAGTGAAAAGAAGTGCTATCAAATTGTATGCAGGTAGAGCAGACCTTTGAGTAACTATTTATGGGCGGAATCGCCTTTGCTCAACTTGACTCTCATATTGACTGTCACTAGGGGCAGCTTAGCGCTACACGGGAGAAAACAATGAGAGTAATGGCTTAGGATCAAGAATAACAACAAAACTCTGTTAAGTTCTTCAGTATCTCATGATTCTGCTCACCTTTGCTGCGTTATTGTGAACACGGATTTGCTCACGATCCGTTTGCCGGTGTGCCAAATGCGGCCAATGTACTTGATGCGTTGTATGGCGATAATGGCCAGTGCGACAGTCCTGAAAGCAAATGCACATTAATAATGGAGTTAACCGAGTCACATTTGGTATGCATCTTACTTGAAGAGTTTCTTTTTGGTGAGCCGCGGTTGGATCGGCTTGCCACCGGTCATGTTTTGTAGCGCCAGTTGCTCACTCGCCTGGTAGCTCTCCAGCGTAAGTTTGAGGTAACGCTTCTGATAAACGAGCGCTTTGCGATGACTCTCGACTCGCAGATATCGGCCCAGCAGCTGTCGGCAGCGATCCTCAAGCTCACTGACATGTGCCGTACCATTGCCGCCGAGCTCCTCGCACTTCTTTTGCAGCGCAATACGCTCGCCTACCAGATACTGCACTGTTTCGGCCATCTGTCGATTCTCCTGTGTGTTCTCCGCCAGCAGCATGTTGATCTCCTTCATTTTTTGCAGAAACTGTGCCGGCACTGTGTCCTCCGTGCTGTGGGCCAGCCGATCGTTGGCCTGAACCAAGGCCTCTGACAACTTGGATTCACGCTGTGCTGAGCGGGCCACATCGAAGCGCAGTTGGGAGATTTTCTGCTCTAGGCTTTCTCTAGTGGACTCGGCAGCCAGTAGCTTTGACTTGAGCTCGTGAATCTCTGCCTGCAGTTTGGCCTGCTCCTGGTGCTGTCGAGCTCGTGTGCTGGCGCGACGTGTTTCTGATTCTTGTAGTGTCACCATACGCGCTTCCAGACTCTCAATTTCGTTGGCTTGCAATGTAAGGCGTTCGTTGAAGTGCTCTAGCTCCATTTCGGCCGATTCCTTGTCCCGTGCAAGCTTGTCCATCTCCTGCTTGAGCCGCTCACAATAGGCCACGCGTTCCTGGAGCTCCTTTTCATAGCGCTGACGCTCACGCTCGCTGCTGCGTTGAGCATCCGCTGAGCGCTCCCTCTCCCGTTCATTTTGGGCGGTCAGCAACTTTAGTTCGCTGCGCAGTCTATCGCACAGCTCAGACTCGAAATCCGCGCGAGGCGATTTGCGGGGCGAGTCGGTGGGTGACTTCAATAACAAGCTACTGCGCCGACTTTCGGCCCGCTGCAGTGAAGTCAGCTGTGTTTGTAGCCTGTCGCACCGCTCGCGCTCCATGTCCAATTGTTTGTGTAGTTCGTCTTCGGCCTCCAGTACGGCTTCCAGGCGCTTACGCATTGCCTCGATGATCAGCACATCCTGCTCCTGTATTTCTTGCGAATGCTGTTTCTCGCCCAGAAGCTCTTTGCTCAGCGTCTCAGTTTGCTCGCGCTCCACGGCCAGCTGAGCCCTGACTGCCTCCAACTGATTTAGCAGCTCGCGCTCGCCGGTGTAATTCTCGTCGTCAGTGCCGTGTCCGTTTGCATTTCCGGAGGCAGGAGTGGCATCAGTCTGGACTTCTTTTTGGTGCAACTTGTCCAAATTGTTTTCCTCTTCGCTTTCAATAGCTTTGAGTATATTCGAGTCGAGCTGCGCCGAGTAGTTGAGCTCCTTTTCCACTTGCTGTGCGATTTCATCTACCGAATATTGCTTGGAGCTTTGCTCACTGTTCCTCAGTCGCTCCAGATCACGTTCCAGGGCGTGCACCTGTTGCTGTAGCTCCTCACTGCGCTGCTGTGCGGCCTGCAATGTTTCGGTCAGCTCTCGATTACGTTCCGTCATGGCCTTTATCTCTGCATTAAGTGTCTCAACATCTCGCTTTCGGGCCGCTGCCTCATCCCGATGCTGTTGCTCGCACTGTGCATGCGCCGCACTCACTAAGTTCAGCTCTCTTCGCAGCGTTTCTCGATCGGCTGCCCCCTGGGCGGCAGTCTCTAAAATTTTATCTTCCAGCGACTCTACGCGCAACCTATATTTTTTCTCACTCTCCTCGTGGTCTCGAAGTAGCTTTTGCTGCCTCTCCACCTGCTGCTTCTCCTTGGAGAGCTGCTCCTGCAATTGTAAAAGATTAGTCTCCAGTTCGGTTTTCTGTCGATGCTTCTCCTCTTCCAGTGCCGATAGCTTTTGCCTTAGCTGCTGCAGTTCCGGCGACGCTATAGCTTTGGGCAGCTCAGGTGTCTGCATTAGCAGGCTGGGCGTCTTCATCTTGGAGTCCTCTGTTAAATTCGAGAAATTGATTTGTCGAGGCACCAAGCCCGGTGTCAGGTCTCCGCTGTTTTGAGCGGTCACACCGAGACCGTTGGGCACCTGAAAGTAGTGTGGGTGCTCGAAAGTGTTGACAGGATGGGCCATTACAAAGCCACTCAAGTCATCAGTGCGCTTGTACGTGAGATTCGCGACAGCTTCCTTTGAGGTTTCCTGCAAGAAATCGATTGTTATTCGCATAACTTCACAGCAACCCTTGTCCACTCACCATTGTCTGATGCAGGAAGCCGCCCGCAGCCTCGGGCAGCTGAAGTGGCACATGAAGACTGCGATTCTCTGCCCGCCGTTCGACATCCGGCTCAGGAAATTCGGTAATCGAGCCAATGTCGCTAAGAGTTCGAGCGCTGTGCTTAGCACTTGCATCTTGCTTGCCGGCAGCCGGCGAGGAAGCCTGGCTGACATCCTTGGCCGCCTGCAGCTCGCGCTCCTTTGCCTCCAATTGCGCCTGCAAATGGTCAATCTCGTCGTTCTTATCAGCCAGCATAGTTTCCATCAGATCGGGCAGCGCTAGGCGATTAACCATCTCAGTGCGCATCGTCTCTTTGAGGTTTTGCAGCTCTTTGCTCTTCTGCAGCACATCCGCCTCCAGGCGTTCGACGAGACTGCGGTCCGGCTGAGTGCGTGTACCGAGCTCTGCCTCAAGGCGAACTATTTCATCTTTGCTACGCTGCAGCTGCTGCTGCATGGTGGCCATTTGTTTATCGCGCGCCGACAGCTGCTCGCCAAGATTGCGCACCTCGCTCTGAAGCTCGTGAACACGGGTGTTGAGATCGGAGGTGCCTGCTCGATGTAGTTGCTCGGCACGCTGGCGCTGCTCTTCCAGGCGCTTCTGTAGCGTCGAAATGCGATGTGTCTGCTCATCGATGCGACCCTGCAATGAGTCCCGCTCATGCTGCAATTCCTGCAAATCCAAATGCAAATGTTATGGTCAATTTTTCAATGCAACATCGTTTAACAGTCAACGGCCGCACGCATCTGTCCCCACCCTGCCACGGCCACCCCCTTCTCCATCCCTTACAAACTTCAATTAAGATAAATTGAAAGCATTCAAATGATGCAGCACAGATGAGACTCGCACTTGTATCTTCACCACATGCCTGTGTTTGTGTCTGTATTATTCCAAGCGGCTTTTAGTGTGCTGATGCGGGCATGCTTTGCACTCTGCCCCCGCTTTCCCGCTTACCCAGGTTGCCGTAACAAAGAAATGTATTCAAACAGTCCCTGTCCTGTAGTCTCGAGTCTTTGCCTTTCAACTAGCTTCTTGTGGCATGGTGCACATTGTAAACAAAGTGCGTGTGCCTAACCCGGGCGTTAAATTACAGATCGAACCAGGT